CGCACCCACCGGGGTTAGAACCCAGGACCTTCTGGTTACAAGGCGAGCTAGCTCGTAGACCATTAAGCCACTGGGACCCGATCCAATAGCCAGCCCATGAATTCTAACTTCTGCCAATTCACGACATAGCGCGACCCCTAGCCAATGTCTTTGGCGAGTATTTGTCCTCACACCCGACCTGCTGCACCCTACTGGTCACGACTTCTCACTAGAACCCTAGGTAACTACCTACCTCTGTCTCTTTAGTGGTGGCTTACTCAGCGCGAGATATATATGAAACGGAGAATGAGTCTAGTATTCATTTCCTCGATGTGAACTTATCAAGGAGGACCGATGGAACTCTGAAGAGATTTATCGATTTATCGACAGCTGTCATGGAATGGTCAACTGACAAATTTCCACAGATGTGCACCCACTGATCGGAAACTAAACCTAGTCTGGTCACTTGTCACTCGCATTCGGCGCATATGTGGAAGATGAGTTAAATCTTTTGAGGAAAATCCTAATATAAAATGGATTTCCACCACGTTTTATAGACAAGAATATACATTCAAATCCTAAAAAACGTGACTTATCAACCGTACCCAAGAAAATACTTTACATGAGCTTGGAATTCAAAGGATACTTAGCTTCCGATATCATAAAACGAAGGATATCACAATCCCTGAAAAGAACATTCCCTGCTGCATCTCTGAGAATAGCCTTTACTAGCCGACCATTACTGTTCAATAACCTGAAGGACAAGATCCCAATGTTGACCAACTCTATGTGTGGAGCTAGGTATATCGGTCGTTCGACACGAGTTTTGTCCAAGAAGGTGCAAGAACACTATCCTGCATGGTAGTTAGGAAGAGGTGGAAGTGGAGCAATAAGAGGCGCGATCATTGAACACCTGGTCGATAATGATCACCCTGTCTCTATAGCCTCTGTCTTTAAAGTCATCTACTAGGCAAAAAGTGATTTACCCAAATCCCTTCGTACCCGACTCATCTGTATTGCTAAAGCCATCTTTGACTATGGAAACAGAAAAGCAAGATCTCTGTATACACAGAAAGTTCGTTCAACCCCTCCAACTTTCATGGTCTTAATCCCAATATGCTAAAGTATGGTAATCCCAAATCATATTTTAGCTCTACCAATTTTTCATTTTGTCTATTCAGTTTGATACTCTTCCTTTATTACGTCAATTTTTACTATTACTATTCTCACTTTGAACTGTCCCCGGTATTATTTCACTTGTTCCACTTGTCATTCTAAATCAATTCTGTCTCGGGACATTAAATTCTACGTTATCAAATTTCACACAACATTACGTAACGTTTTTATTTTATTCGGTCTGCCTACTAATCCTATAATTACACACACCTTCCAATTTCTATCCATCCTGTGAATTATTCTATCACGGAATATCCGTATTGGATCATAAGATTATTAAAAAGACAGTTGCAGCGAAGAAAATTTTCTTTTCGACGAAGTCATCATCTAGGCTGTACATTCGTGTATTTATATCAAATGGATGGGAAAGTTCCAGAATAATTTCCGGTCAGGGGTCAAATTAATAAAGTTGCAATTAGGAATTAAAATGCCATAACAAACGGGATGGCTAAAACTCAAACAAAGTAGCATCATAATTACTGAGAAGATTGACATATTGTGTAATTAGGGGGTTGAAATGTAGAAATAACAAAAATAGACAGGATGTTTGGATAAAAAATCTAGTGGGATCATAACTAATGTGACGAACAATTATTTATGCAATCAGGAATTAAATATGTAGAAATAATAAAATGACAAAATAGACAGGAAGTTCGAATATGAAAATATGGTAGTGTAAATAGGGGTTAGGAAAAACTAAAAAATAACACGGAAAAACAGGAAGTTTGGATAAGAAAGGTGATGAGATAGTCATTATTAAAAGAAATACCTGTTTATGATGGCCATGGCAGGGACAACGATTGGATGTATTTCTTTTCGATACATAGCGTGGGTTTGAGCTTTTGGATAGCTAGTGCCTCGGCTATGCCCAGATGTCTTTGATAGGTTCGATCGAATCTTTTGTATTATTTTGAAGGATTTCTCGAATTGCGCTGAATGTCCTGAACTGATTAGATGTTTTGTCACTGAACTATGTGCACATTTTCGATCTCCTTTTACTAGCCAGGCTGGATAGTGTTCACGAGGGCGTTTTTCAAGTTGGTGCATGGTACAGCCGATGTACTTAGCTCCACAAGAACAAGTAAACTGGTTGTACGCACTTTGAAGTGACCCAATGCAACAGCTTGTCTTTCGTGTTCCAGCTGAACAGTTTCTTGCAGGAAAACGTCAGTCATAGGCTCACTGCGAAGTATGTCTTCCTCAGAGATTTGGAGAGACCTTTACGAAGAATTTCTGCTTGAATGTTACCTATGAATTCCAGGTCAGGCGGAAATATCTTCTTCGGGACGGATTGGACTTGTTCGGAAGTCTTCTTTGATTTGAGATTCTTGTCTATATACCTAGGCAGAAAACCGTTTTCCATGAGGGTACCTCGGAGATTACGCAGTTCTTCGCCCATCATATCCTCGCTACATGTCTTCCGAATTCTCGAGGAAAGAGTGTATATAAGGTTCCTCATTCTGCTTAGGGGCACGAAGCTTTGGACGTTGATGAATTGTCGATTCCATGTAGGCTTTTTGATTATGGACCTTTTCAGAGAGTTGTTAGCGTTTCTTGTCAGATGGACGTTAAGGAAGTGGAACATTCCGTCGGATTCAGTTTCAAGAGTAAAGTCAATGTGTTGGTGAACATTGTTGAATGTTTTTGAGTAAGTTTTCAAGGTCCATGTTCTCATTACAAATGATGAAAGTATCTTGTATCAATGGTTCTCTTGTAGAGATGTAGGTTATCGATAGTTGATGATAAGGAATTGTTTTCCATATGACACTAATTGTTTTGTCGTTTGACATTTATCTATGATTATAATCACAAACATTTAATTGCATTTCATACTACTATTATTATTATTTTATGCATTCACACCTATGTTTCAATTCCCTCACCGGATATAATTCCTTGAATACCATATATATAGACGATTGTACTGCTTGATAATAAATTCGTTGGAAGAGTCTCTTCGCTAAAAATCACTTGTTGACATGTTAGTCGAATGTTTCTCTCTCTCTAGAGGACATCTATATGTTGGGTGTGTGTAAGAAAGGTAGGTAGTTGGGATGATGGAGACATTGACGTAGAGGGTAGTTAAGGTGATTTGTGTTGTTTATCCAGCTTAGCCTATCAAATGCACACAAGCATTTGGTACCTATTCATAAAAGCGGTACAGATAGCTATTCACCTTTGTTATAATATTTCTTTTTTCAATTTCAAGAGTCATAAAACTGTTATTATTCATACATGTGTAGTCTAAACTCATCCCTTGATAGTTTTGGTGTCTTTATATGTAAATGTGTAAATACTTCATGACTGTATACTAACCATAGAACTGTGAGGATGAAATGAAAATATTTGGACAGTCAACTGATAATAATAATAATAATATATTCTCATTTTGTACATGAGGGACGCCAGTTTACAGGCGTCCCTCATATGATAAATTACATATACGATTAGTAAACATATTTAATAATAGTAATTTAATAAAATACATTTTTTCCTACCTGTGTAGGACACACCAATTGTACAGGCATGGATAAGTATTATTTAAATTACATAAATTTGGTTCATGGTTAAATAATGTGGTTGCAGTCATTTTGTCTATGGGAACTATATGATAACTAGTCATTCAATGGAGCACATCAAGAAATATAGAAATATTTTCTTCGCATTAACAAAAAGAACCCAAGTATGTTTTGGATGGATTACAAATACTTGGGAAAAAATAAACCTTGAAGTCATACCCCATTTAATTTTGGTGTGTACGTCATCGAGTCTTATTCTTGATTTATATCCAAATTGGGTAAGAAATTAAAATAAGTGATACACTTGTATAATTTTGTCAGCATTTTCATTGTTACATCACAAGTGAATTATACTCAATGTAGAGTAATAATAATGACAGTTTCTATTTCCTTATAAACGGGTGCTTTCAAGAAATGCAAGATTTTTTGCACACACGATCAGTTATGGTGTAAGTTACAATCGTGAAGTATTATAAATCAATACTCTTTTATTGGTATAAAGGTATATTTCACAACTGTAATCCAGGTCGCGTCGTGGGGGAAGGTAATGCGTAATTCACGAGGGAATTGTTAGATATGGGACCAATAATGTTCGCAGATCATTTGTCATTGTAAATGGACAAATATCTACATTCTTCATTCTCATTCAGAAAGTCAAATGGAAGCTAAAATGGTGAGAGAAAAAAGAAGACAAACAACAACAACGCAAAAGAAAGCAAGTGGAGTCTTCAAGGAGTGATTAATATGTATATATACATTTATATTCTGTTTAGTAACTATATTTATTTTGGTTCACTAACTAACTAGTCCCATGATGCTAACTTTTATATTGTGTGAACTAATATTATTGTCCTGTGTAAAAATGTCTATCATGTCCTTCCAATAATATTACAATTTATAATTGTAGTCTGTTGTAACTTACACGTTTAATGAACTTAAAATATCTATGTAAGGTGAAAAAGAGGGTGTATGAGTCAGATGCAGAAGTACATCGTCATCTTTGAACAGTCTGGTGGCTGAGGAGATGAACACTGCAAGTGTGTTTGCATCGCGCACATCAGCTGGTAGTCTATTCCAAATGACTGAAAACTTATTTAAGAAGAAGTTGTACCGCATGTAAGTCTGACAATGATCTATAGCAGCAAGGTCGTGATGATTTCTAAGACTGTAACTGATGACAGCGGTAGGTTTAATTATTGTAGAGGCAAATTATGAAATGAGGCAGTTAAGATGCTAATGGAAAATGGAGATATGTGCTGTTGAAGCCCTATGAAGAATAAGGAGTAATAAGAGTGTGAATTTGTGGAGTTTTTTTCATTTTATAATATGAATCATGATATGCGAAAGAAGATAATATTAAAACAGCTTAAGGTTTATTGAATTTGGTTGGAGGATTTCATCATGAGCTGACATCAGTTAGAGAACCATTGGAAAACAACCTGGGAGTACTGTTTCATCCTAGTTTGAGACTCTTCAGTAGTACGCATCCCCACCGTGGGTTTCGAACACAGGACCTTCTGGTTACAAGGTGAGCGAGCTCGTAGGCCATTAAGCCACTCACTGGGACCCGACTCCTCAATGGTCAGCCCATCAATTCTAACTTCTGCTAATTCACGACATAGCGCGACCATTTCGCAATGTCTTCTTCGATGAGTTACTGCCTCGCCTTCAACCTGCTGTACCCTTTTGGCCACGACTTCCCACTAGAACCCCAGGTGACTGCCGGAATAGGGCCAATCGCTAGTGAATATCAGGTTAATTTTCAAGTATTAGTTTTGTAGGGATTTAGTTTAGTGGTTCAATGGTCTACGAGCTCTCTCGCCTTTTAACCAGAAGGTCGTGGGTTCGAACCCTGGCGGTGGGTAAATGCTGATGAAGAGTCCCAAACTAGGCTGATGAAACAGCTGTCCAGTAATCCCAGATTTTTCAGTGATTCTCTAACTGATGTCAGCTCTCCATCCAATCAAACAAAATCCCTACAATTGTGGTAACATGAGTTACTGATTAACTCTTGGTTCAAAGTGTTTCTCTACAACAGGAAAAGTTTGATGAACTAATAAAATAGTCACTTCAGATTTAAAATGGGAAGCTGCAATCATATGAAGCCTAACTAACTAGTGTATGATTAACGGTAAAAGAAACAAAATCAGTTTATTGAAATCCACTTCTACCCAATATTCAATGAAAATTAATCATCTGATGAGGCCCAAGTGGTTGAGTGGTCGACGACCTTGGCCTTATAACCTGAAAGTCTCAAGTTCGATCCGTGATATGGTCACATGTAAGCACTGATGAAGAGTCCCCAACAAGGACGAAACGAAACTCCATTACTCCCTCCTGGTTTGAAAATGGTACTCCAACTGATCATCCTTCCGTGTTCAAACTTGGAATAAATCGAATTCCTACAAACTAACTCTGGAAAGTTAACCACAGGAGTGTTATCCTATCATGGACATATTTAACGAATCTTTTTCCAGAAATGTCGTGCCAGCCGTTTGGAAGGACATTAAAATTGTACCTATACCTAAGTCGTCTACTGCAACATGTTTTAAATTTAGACCCATTGCTATTACTTCCTCTTTTCTAAAAGCTATGGAAAAGTTACTCTTAATTAATTTTAAACCTTCACTTAAAGCCTTTAACGATCCTAAATAATTCGCCTTTAAACACAGTAGAAGTACTTAAGATGCAGTTGCAGTCTTGTATCATAACATTGTCTTCACCTTAGACAAGGGGGCTAAATTTGTTCGCTTCACCTTTCTAGATTACACATCTACTTTCGACTCAGTACCTAAGGACATTTTGTTAAAGAACCTTGCCAAAACTCGAACGGACTGTTGGGTTGTCAAATGGCTGTATTCTTATTTCTCAGGAAGAAAGCAGTACACTGTATGTCACGGGAAGTCGTCCACTTCATTGGTTACTGAGGCTGGTGTCCCTCAAGGCTCGGTCACTTCTGCTTTTCTGTTTTCTTTCTTCTTGCATGACTTGCCTCACTCTGATGACGACATGAACTTTGTTAAGTATGCCGATGATCTAACTATTTCAGTGTCTGTTAACTCCCAGCTAGACTGCAGTAAGATGAATAGCTTTCTATCAGGAGTTAGCAAGTGGTCTTCTTCTAATGGCCTTAAACTAAATCCTTCCAAATGTCAGACAGTTAATTTCAGTTTCCGATGTAAAACAAAGTTAAATGAAGCTGTTGGTTCCTATAACCGTTGCAAAATTGATGATACCAAGTCCGAAGTTAAGTATCTTGGATTAATCCTTTCTACTGACCTATCCTGGTCTTCCCATATTTTAGCGATTTCTAAAGAAAATATTCCGTCTGACGTTTTACATTAAGAAGTTAAGGCACTCAGGCATAACTCAATCAACCCCTCCTCTTACAGTCTGTCAACTCGTGCAACTTCCCATTATTCTTTCCTGGGTTGTTTAAATAAGACTATGTCATACTTCGTAGAACTCTGAAGACTCACTGTCAGTAGAGCGAGTGGTATCCCATTGGGCCATATCGTTGACATTGTCATTGATAGGCAGGCACTTGATGTCATACAACAAATTCGCTTAAGGAATTTTGTCAGGCTGTGAGCATCCACTTTACCCGCAGCTCCAACCTTGTGTCTCCTCAGGTAAAACAAGAAGTCTTTTCAGAAGACTTTATGCACTTCTAAGTATAAAAATTCCACTATATCATATTTAGCGGCACGTACTTTATGTGATGAAAATAGTGTCAGACATGAACTAACTAACCTTCTTTGCACTACTAAATAAACCATTTCCTTCACCCTTAAAACATAAAACTTTATTGTTATTGTAATTCTTATACTTATAATCCTCTCAATTTTTTGTTTTTATTTGTTTATTTTCTCAAAAGTGTGAACAAAATTTAAGCTGTGTTATATCTGTTAATTTTGTATTTCCCCTCACCACGCTGCTATATCAACAGAACATTAGATTCAATAATCTATAACATGCTAAAGTTTCCAAACTGAATCGACAATACTGTTTGAAACACACTCACTGTTATTATTATTATTACTATTATTATTACTATTATTATTATTATTATATTTAATATTCTCAATTCGTGCTTCGAATATTTTTGACTTTATATCGTAAATGTGGACAAATTCCTCCGGTTAATTTTGTTTTAATTTTTAATTTTATTTATAATTTGAGTAAATCAGATGCGATATTGTGAGAAATGCTGAGAATTCCATTCTGTATTACAAGTACTGTTTTTGGAATAAAGCAGATTATTATCATCATTATTAGTCAGTTTTGTAAACATTCTGGACTAGACAGCCGTTCTCATTAGTGTATCTTCAGAATCCAACTTAACATGAGTGCATTCTACTGATGTGTCTAAAAATGGACGAAATTCCTTTGTCACACCTCAAAGAAATCATTCTTTCAAGATTGATCGCAGATTAGTACCAGCTAGAGAACTAGTTGTTTCGTCCCTGTCGGAGACTTTTCATCCGTATGCATTCACGACTCCTAGAGCTAGGGATCAGACCTTGTGGTATTCAGTAGTTTTTTATAACTCAAGTCAATTAGTTTTTTCTTTATTTTATTTTGTTCCTTTACGTTCCCAGTGGAACATAGGACTTCAAGCTAGACCTTTGAATTTTCGGTAGCACTGATGTTAATTTTTACGACATGAGATTACATGCCTGTTGCCCAACCTTCCCTCTTTGCCATCCCTACTTCTGGTTTAGCTAATTTGAAGAGTGTGTCGGTTGGGAATCGAACCCCGGACCACATATGTGGTTAGTGAGCTTTCTACCTCTGAACTATTGTCGCAGCAAGTCCATACATTCTAAGTTTTTAAATCAATCATCGAAGCCAAAACAAATCAAAACTTAAAAATTCTTCATTTAAGAACACAAGATATTGAGCGAAGAGACACTTTTCAACGAATTTATTATCAAGCTGTACAATCGTCTATATATATGGTTTTCAAGAAATTGTATCCGGTGTGGGAATTGAATCATAGGTGTGAATACATAAAATAATAATAATAGTATGAAATACAATTAAAATTAAAATGTTTGCAATAAAGGTTAATAAAGCAGGATTTAATGAATTCATCAAATTTCGGTAGAACTCGTCACCTGAATACCCTACATACACTGAAATATATACTTTTGAAATTACATTGGGAGATATAAGACTGATAAGTAAATAAACTACATTGAATTAGTCATGCAGAAAGACAGGTGTGAATGTTTTTCCAGGTCATGTTCAATTAGATAAGGGGAGAGAGAGTATGGGAGATCAAAATCAAGATAAAATGCATTAAGCTTCAATTACATCACTTAAATAAACAATTAGACATTAGAGAATATATCAAGAATTGCAAACAGAGTAATATCAATAGTAATATTTATAATAATAATAATAGTGTTGAAATGAGTTAAGATAATCCTACTGATACAGGATAGTTTTATATGAATCAAGAATAATAATAAAAATAATAATAAGAGGTAGAATAATAAGTAAAACGTATTACCATGGTAGATTCAGAGTGACGACCATCTCCTTTTGTACTCAAAGACCTGGTTTATAAACTCGAACTGCACAAGCCTCTGCAATTGCAAGCATCTTCCTGTTTTTTTGTCAGCTGACAATAGTGAATGACTTGACAGCGTCGATATCATGTCCATAGTCCACAAGATGTCTTGTTATTGAGGTATTTGGTACTTTACATTCAGCTGTTTTCAACCATTTTAGCAAATGCTCCATCATGCTAGTAGACAATCTCCTTTCCGTACGACCTATGTATTTGCCTCCACAAACACACTCAAACTGATATACGCAGTTTGACGTGCTGAGAATTGGCGACTGGTCTTTCCCAGATTGTTAAAGCACTCGCTTAGTGGTGTTAAGGAGATCAAATTTTGCAGCATAATAAGTTCTCTTGAAGGCTTTGTCGAGTCTTCGTTTGACTACTTCCTGTACATCATCTCCTTTGAGTGGCAAACTGATATAGACAGGTTTCTTCGGAACTGTTTGGATTGTTTTGCAGCGGCTAATTTCTTTAGAGTATTTATTAATGAACTTCTCAGGATATCCATTCTTAGATAAGATATCCTTCAGGGATTTTATTTCATACTCAACAGTACTGTCAGAACAAATTTTTCGTGCTCTATTGAACAGTGTTCTGACTAAGTTCTTTTTATACTGGATTGGAACAAAGCTCTTGAAATGTATGTACTGTCCTG